TGCCAGGGCTCAGGCAGCCTCGGGAACAGCGCGTCGGCGCCCCCGTGTGGCCACAGGGCTGAGGACAGAAGAGCCAGCTCCTCTTTCTGCTGCTCAGCCAGGACCTCCCAGGGTCTCCCTCTGCTCCCAGCACCAGAACAGGGCTTTGAACACAGAAGGGGGGCCCTGTCTTATGTCAAATTTGGGGTGCAAAGAGTTTCTCCAAATGCACACTGATGTGGATGCTTCCTCCCCATTGAGTCACCGTGGACGCTGCCTTAGGAAAGAGCGAGGTCTCCTGGGCCATAACCGCTGGCTCCCAGGTCCAGCTGCACCCCACAATCAAACCAGGAGTCCTTAGTCTCCTGGATGGGACCTTGGACACCCAAGAACCTGTCCCCTGTTCCCGCTGCTGCCTCTGGAGCTAGAGCACCTTCCCCCTGGGAACTAGTGCCGCTTGTCTCAGAGCTTGGGCTGGGGTGGGGCTGGGTGTCAGGCCTGGGAAGGCAAGGATGCCCCTGAGGAGGTCAGGATGGGGGGGAGTCAGCACGCAGAGGGGTAGAGGCTTCAGGAAGGAGAGCAGCAGGGGAGGGTGTGCCATGGTCCCCCTGCTGGTGTTTGGAAGGGGTCCTCCGGGTCACAGACAGCAAAGGGCTGGGCTGCCCCTGTAGGAATGAGCCCTGGTCCCAACGTCCTGGGGTTTCCAGGGTCCCATTAACTGGGCCAGTGCCCCTGCCAAGTCTGAGCCCAGCCCGAGCAGCAGGCCGTCCTGTCCTTCAGTGGTCCCTTGTGATTCCATTGTTTGCTCCAAGAACTGTATCTGGGGAACAGTTTCAGAGAGCAAGCCTTCAAAGATGTTATTATGGGGACCAAGGGCCCATGTCCTAACTCTTCCACCTGACTCTACCCCATGGCAGAGAGAATGACATGTAACTCCCAACATCATGTCTCATAACTGGTGATGAATGTCCTCCCTTCTCTTTCTGAGGAAAAATGAAACCTTTAAATGTGGACGTAAAACCCCTCCCCACCCTGAGCTCTGGCACTGGCCTCAGTGGTTCCCAGGCTGGCTGAGCCCCAGGATTGCTTGTGAGCTTCTTACAAAACCCCCAGCCTCTCCCCGACCCACAGACCCAGAGAATTAGGCACAGACAGGAACCACCTGTGTAACACCCTGCAGGCGAGGCCGACACAGACACGGGGATCCTGGTCTGGGTTCTCGCTGCTCAATGTGGGATGTGAAGACCAGCAGCATCAGCACCTTGGGATAGAGCCAGACTCACACTCTGCTCCAGACGTCCTGAGCCAACAAGAGGTCCAGGTTGTTCCTGAGCCCAGGAACGTTGGGGGCTCCGTGGGCCCTGTGCCTTCTAGACCCGGAGACAGAACAGTGCAGTCGGCTCTGGTGTGTGGTCTGAACAGACGGCTCAGCACTGGGTCCTGGGTTCAGTTCTGCTCCCTTGGTCTCCTGTAGCCATCAGTCCTTTGGTGACCTTGTCCGTTCTCAAGGCTTTAAATATTATTTACCTGTGTGGCCTCCCAACTCTGTTTCTCCAACCAACATCTCTCCTGATCTCCAGACTCATCTGTCCAACTGCCAATCCGACGACTCCCGTGTGTTGCTGACAGACACTCAGCTCCAGCATCTCTTAAAATGAAGGCCTGTGATGCCCCTCAAATAGCCTGCTCCAGAGTCTCCCCATCTCTGCTAATGGGAACTCTGTCTCTCTACTTATATCCTCTGAGATTTTTGGTGACCTTGATTCCTCTCTCGAATGCCCCAGATTAACCCTTAGGCTCACTCTAAAGTCCACTTCAGAAGGAACAAGAACCCCAGCAAGCCCACTATTTCCACCGTTCACCCCTGGAAGCCTCTCCAGCCTGGAGCCCCTCACAGACTCCTCCTGCCTCCCCACTGCCCCCTCACCTCCCAAGTGTTCTCAGCTCAGCAGCCACAGTGATCCTTTAAAGAGGGAATCAGGCCAGGCCTCTCCTGCTCTAAACTCTCCTGTGGCTCCCTCCTCACTCAGAGCACAGTCCCCGCCCTTCTTCCATCCTCCAGGCCCAGGAGGTCTGGCCTTGTCTTTATCTCATGTCCATTACTCTCTGCTCCATTCCCACACTGGCCTCCTCCCTCTTAAACCAAACACACTCCTGTCCCAGGCCATTCCCACTGGAGGTGCCACTGCTGGAAAGGACTTCCTTCTGACATCCTCATGTCCTTCAATGCTTTCCTCAAGCCACCTTCCCAGGGAGGCCCCCACTGGCTGGCCACCCAAATCAAACAGACACGGCCTAGCTGGTTTAGCTCTGTGGATAGAGCGATGGCCTGCAGACTGAAGAGTCCCGGGTTGGATTCTGGTCAAGGGCACAAGCCAGGGTTGTGGGCTCAATCCCCAGGAGGGGACCTGCAGGAGACAGCCGGTCAATGATTCTCTCCCATCATTGATATTTCTCTCTCTCTCTCTCCCTCTCCCTTTCTCTCTGAAATCAATAATACACACACACACACACACACACACACACACACACACACACTGAGTGGCCAAATTATTATGATCACCTTACGTTTGTAGGCGGGGAGGGCAGTTGGGTGTGACCAGGCCAGCAGGAGAGGGCAGTTGGGGGCAATCGGGCCGGCAGCGGAGCAGTTCGGCGTCCATCAGGCGGGCAGGGGAGTGCTTAGGGGGTGATCAGGCTGGCACCGCTTCTGATGATGAAAGAGAAACATCCATTGGCTTCACATGCATGACCTGGGTGGGAACTGAGCTGAAGTCTGGGCATATGCCCTGAAAGGGAATCCAACCATGACCTCCTGGTTCCTGAGTGGACTCTCAGCCACTGAGGCACACCAGTGGGCTGTTCTCCTTTAAGGAACCCATCACCCCTTCATGGCAAGAAGTGAAGAAGAATGCAAATCCACAATCTAGTCCTGGATTGTGAGAGGGATGTCCAACTGCCAGTTTAGGATCAGGACTAAACCGGCAGTCAGACATCCCCCGAGGGGTCCCAGATTAGAGAGGGTGCAGGCTGGGCTGAGGGACACCCTCCATCCCCCAGTGCACAAATTTTGTAGGCAAATTAGGGTTGGTCATAATAATCTGGCCACTCAGTGTATATATTAAAAACAAACAACAAAACACCCATGGTCTGTGTCCCCCACAGCCACACTTGGGCTTGCCTTCCCCATGGCATTTTTTCCCACAACAGTTACCCCTTGTCACACAGACACCTTCCATGTTTACTGTGCTTTTTCATTCACTCTGTTTCTTCCCACACAACGTATGTCACACAGGAAAGCAGCTTTTCTGATTGTCCTTCAATGGTCCCCACATGCGGAAACACTGTCACACATCTGGCACACAACTAATATTGGTTCATGAATGGTCAGTGTAGAGCACCTCCCTGTGCTAGAGACACGTCTTCATTAACGTGGCCTCAGACCACAGCTGTCCTGTGGCAGCTACAGCACAGCGAGCTCTCACATTGACATCAGGGCACCTGCTCTTCCCACAGAGCGGCTCTCCCTGAATCTACAGGAGACTCTGCTTCAGAAATCCCAGGGTTCCCACTGCAGCCAGCACTAGAGGGAAGGGCAGGGAGAGAGGGTGGGCGAGCAGAGAGGAATTCCAATAGGAACTTATCTAAGATGACCAGTTACAGGACCCTCCTCCCTGCTAATTCCAGAACCTGGTTCCTTGGAGAGTTTAGGAAAAGATAGAAAGAACAATCAATTCCTAGAAGGAGCCAAGAGCATGATGAGACTGAAAATTCATCTCTCCATACCACGGACTCTTGTGTGCAGGGACCCCTGAGCCTTGTGGGCACAATGACAGACAACTCATCTCTGCTGATGTTGGATAGGGGACACTCAAAAGAAGAATGCGACCAAAACTCATAACAAGAACACAAACAGGCACAATCCTCTGCACCAGTGGTTCTCAACCTGTGGGTTGCGACCCCTTTAGCAGTCAAACGACCCTTTCACAGGGGTCGCCTAAGGCCATCCTGTATATCAGATATTTACATTCTGATTCATAACAATAGGAACATTACAGTTATGAAGTAGCAACGAAAATAATTTTATGGTTGGGTCACAACATAAGGAACTGTATTTAAAGGGCAAGAAGGTTGAGAACCACTGCTCTACACAAACAAAGAAACAACAAATACAGTCCCAGAGGGGATGAGGGCAGGACCCAGGCCTGAGCCTAGGCCCTAGGATGACCCAGACACAGGAAGGCCTTGCTGCCCACGGGTTTGGAGATGTTCCTCATTAGGACAATTTACAAGGCCTGGGGAGGTATGAGTCCCTGTTATGGAAAGTCCTGGTGGGACAAGGTTCTCCTGAAGTGAGAAGAACAAAGGAGCAGAGAGGTGACCCAGCTGAAGAGACCAGGGAGCCAACTGGGCACAGCCCTGACCACACTCGGTCCTCACAGCCTCTCCTGTCCCTCCTGCAGCAGCCTCAGCACAGCAAACACACAGGTCCTGACCAGTTCTTGGGGCTTCCATTTATCTCCTCTCAAATTTTAGGATCTTCTCCTTAATTTTTTTCAAAAATGTTTTTATTAATTTTCAAAGAGAGAGGAAAGAAGAGGGAGAGACGGATTGAAACATCAATGATGAAAAAGAAACATCCATTGGCTTCACATGCATGACCCTGGTGGGAACTGAGCTGAAATCTGGGCATTTGCCCTGAAAGGGAATCCAACCATGACCTCCTGGTTCCTGGGTGGACACTCAGCCACTGAGGCACACCAGCCGGGCTGTTCTCCTTTAAGGAACCCATCACCCCTTCATGGCAAGAAGTGAAGAAGAATGCAAATCCAGACTCTTATTTCAATCAGGCAGTAAGAAGCTGCAGCTGAGCGCAACAGGCAGTAAAAACAGGAATGGGGAGGGCCCAGCCCCACCTCTACTGGACAGGAAAGGCTGGGGAAGGGGTGTAGTGGGCAGGGGTGGGCCATCCTCCCACCTCCTCTCGTTATGCTGATAGGAACACACACATTTAGATGCCATTTGCAGAAAGTAACCAGAGGTTCTTGAATCACAAAGTAGGAGCGTGAACAAATCTCTCATCACTCAGTCCCGGACAAGTGCCTCAGGCTGTGGAAGAAAATGATCATGAACAAACCCAGTTCAGTGGCTGTAAGCAGTGACCTTCTCAACAGCCCACCACAGGCTCACTATGTCCCAAAGAGTCCCCATCACCCAGTCCTGTCCCTTTTGCCCCAACCCCTGCTATCGCCAGGGTCTCACGGTTAGAAGCCGAGAGAGATACATCAGAGCCCTGGGCACCATCGCTGCCTGGGGTAGAACAAAACAGGACGGAGTCAGAGCCCCCAGGAGAGGAGACTAAGGGAGGAATTATAGGGGTGAGGTCCCCCATGGGATCCAGTCTGTACTATCACAGGATCTCAGGGGCCACCCTCCATACTCACTGGCAGCCTGAGCATAGCTCCCTCCTTTTCCACCTGTGGGAAGAAAACATCCCGTGAGAAGACAGGGAGGACCCAGGGCCATGAGGTCCTAAAGGAACTCCTAGTCCTGGAGCCCAGAGAAGTTTCCAGATCTGTGACTACAGACCCAGTGCAGGATCAGGAAACCTGAGGAAACTACACGTGTGGGGACTGGACCAACCACCCTCCTGGAGGTCTGTCCTCAGCAGGGACCTTCCTCCCTGAACTGGGAGTGCTGGGAACCAGGCCCCATCACTAGAATCATCAAGGTGATGAATCTGTCCCCATTTCCACACGTGTTTGACTAAAGAGTGAGTGTCAGCAAACAGGGCCCCACACTGGGCAACCACACGTGTGGGGATGGTACTTGCCATTAATGAAGCAGAACACACTTCCACCTGGGCTGGCAACCCCCAGTGAGACAAGAAACTCAGGCCCCACCCCTTCCCTACCTGAGCGCTTCCTCCTCCACATCACAGCTCCAGTGACCACAGCTCCAGTGACCACAGCTCCAAGGATGACCAGGCCCACAACGAGGCACACAAGGGGGATGGTGGCCCAAGGAGGCGGCTCTGGGAAGGGAAGGGGAGGTGAGGGCCCTAACCCCCAGGCCTCAGCCCTCACCCCACTGAAGTCCTCCACAGGCCCCTGCCTCCCTGAGAAGAGGCTCTGTGCCCAGGCCCCTGCTCACCCCATCTCAGGGTCAGGGGCTTGGGCAGCCCCTTGTGCAGCACATGGCACGTGTATCTCTGCTCCTCTCCAGGGGGCACCACCAGGGCTGCCCACTTCTGGAAGGTCCCATCCCCCGCAGGCCTGGTCTCCACAAACTCTGTGTCCTGGGTCTGCTCCTCCCCATCACGCTGCCAGCTCAGGCTGATGTCCGCAGGGTAGAAGCCCAGGGCCCAGCACCTCAGGGTGACCTCACGGTCAGAGATGGGGTGGTGGGTCACGTGTGTCTTTGGAGGGTCTGAGGAGAAGGGTGAGGAAATTCAGGGACTTGGCACTGTCAGGGGACCCTCCAGCAGCTCTCATGTGACCACCTGAGCGTGGACAGGGCACCTGGGGTGGGTGAGGGAGCACACAAGCACCACCAGCCTGGACAGAGCACCTGGGGATGGTCTCTCCTCCTTAGAAAGTTCTAGTCGGAGTGACACAGCCCAGGGCAGGAGGCAGGTCTCAGGGGGAGAAAGGGATTTCTGGTCCTGTCCTGGGTGGAGGCCAAAGGACTCAGAAAAGTCGGTGTCAGACCTCAGATGCACTGGGGGAGGGGTAGGAAGCAGGGCCTGAGAGAGCATGTCCCCATGGGTCCCAGAGCTACTGCAGGGTCAGTGGGAACCGCTGCTCATTTCCTTCAGGCTTGGTCTCCCCTCTAATTGTCCCTGAGAGACTGCACCCCTCGGTGTCCCTGAGAGAAGGGAGGTCGTCACTGGATCTGAAAAGCCAGGCGGACTCAGTCTCCTGGCTCACAGGAGGGGGGTCTGACACTGACCCTGTGTCCTGTCTCCTTGTTGAGCCCCAGCCCCAGGGGAGAGGAGGGAGGCCCCAGGCCCTGGTACCTGCGCGCTGCAGCACCTCCTTCCCCATCGCCATGTATCTGCGCAGCCACTCCAGGCACCTGCCCTCCAGGATGTTCCTGAATCGCTCAGCCTCACCGGCCTCCTCCCACTTGCGCCGGGTGATCTGAGCTGCGGTGCTGGTCGCGGTCCAGGAGCGCAGGTCCTCGTTCAGGGCGATGTAGTCGGTGCCATCGTAGGCGGACTGGTGGTACCCGCGGAGGAGGCGGCCGTCCGGTCCCATGTCACAGCCCTGCATCCACTGGATCGTGTGAGACCCTGATCCGCCCCGAGGTCAGTGTCGCCCACTGAGCTGCGTTCCCGCCCCGCCCGCGGGGATTAAACAGAAACTGAAAGTGAAACCGAGTCCAAGTCCCGGCGGGCTCCTCCCGGGTGTGTCTATGGCGGGGGGAGGAGGGGGTTGGGGTGAAGCTCGTACTCGGACACTCGGGGCGACCCCGGTCCGTCCGTGGGGATGGGGGTGGTGACCGGCCCGGGCCCCGTGGCTCACCGTCCCGGCTCTGGTTGTAGTAGCCGCGCAGGTTGTGCAGGCTCCCTCGGAAAGTCTGTGCGGTGGCCTTGGCGTTCCGGGTGCTCAGGTCCCAATAGCCCGGCTCCACCTGCTCCACCCACCGCGCCCGCGGCTCCGCCCTCTGACTCTCGGAGTCGCTGTCGAACCGCTCCAGCTGTGTGTCGTCCAGGTAGGCGACCTCCAGGAACCGGGCCTCCCCGCGGCCGGGCCGGGACACGGCGGTGGAGAACCATCTCAGGGAGTGGGGGCCTGGGGGCCGGAGCGGAGGGGCTGACACCCGCCACCTTCCTCCCGGCGCGGTTTCGGGGTCCGGGGTCCGAGGGACAGGAGAGGGGAGGGGCCCGGGAGACGAAACAGGGGCAGCGGGACGGAGAAGAGAGGGGTCAGGACGGGGTGGGGTCTGGGGTGTGGGGTGTGGGCGGGGGGTTGGGGGGTGGAGACGCCCTTTCCCGGGGTCCTGCGCCCCCGCCGGGCGCCCTTGCTCCTCCTCCCCAGAGGCCATTCCCTCCCGACCCCGCACTCACTTGCCCAGGTCTGGGTCAGGGCCAGGGCCCCCCAGAGCAGGAGGAGGAGGGCTGGGGACCCCATGACTGGCATCCTCCTGGTCTGGGGAGTCTGTGAGTCCTGATGAGTCCGCAGAGACTTATAACTGGGGACAAAGGTGACCCTGATTGGCTTTTCTAGCACCTGACACCCAATGGGAGTGAGAACTGGGGCCCTGTCACGAGTATCCAGGAAGGAGGGCCCCACACAGGTTGTGAGAGGAGAAGTGAAACTGCGGGGAGGTGGGGACTCCCCAACACTGAGTTTCCCCGCTTCAGTCTCCGCCCTCCGGCTGGAACCGTGAGATCAGGCCTGAGACCTGGGATCTTGCCCTGACCCCTCTGTGTGTGACAGGGGGCAGGGCCACAACCTCCCTATCCGCCCTGCTCTGTTGGTGACAGGTGAAGGCGCCCCAACCCCCCCATGGGCCCTGCTCTGTGTGTGATGGGGTAGAGCCCCAAACTCTCCATCGGCCCTGCTCTGAGTGTGACAGGGGGGAGTGCCCCAACCCCCTGATTTGCCCTGTTCTGTGGGTGACAGGGGTCGGCGCCCCAACCCCCTTATGGGCCCTGCTCTGTGCGTGACAGGGGGCGGTGCCCCAACTCCCCTATCAGCCCTACTCTGTGCGTGACAGGGGGGAACTCCCCAACCCCCTGATCGGCCCTCCTCTGTGTGTGACAGGGTACGGAGCTCCAACTCCCCTGATGGGCCCTGCTCTGTGCGTGACAGGGGGCAGCACCCCAACCCCCTGATCGATCCTGCTCTGTGCGTGACAGGGGGTGGCACCGCAACCTCCCCATCGACCCTGCCTTGAGTGTGACAGGGGGCGGCACCCCAACCCCCCAATCAGCCCTACCCTGAGTGTGATTGAGGGTGGCATCGCAACCTCCCGATCCACCCTGCTCTGTGCATGATAGGGGGCGGCGCCCCAACTTCCCAAATCGACTGCTCTGAGCCTGACCAGGGGCTGCACCTAGGGATTGGACCTGCCCTCTGCCACCCGGGAGCGGGCCTAAGCCAGCAGGTCATTATCACCCGAGGGGTCCCAGACTGTGAGAGGGCACAAGTGGGGCTGAGGGACACCTCCCTCCCCCGCCAGTGCACAAATTTTTGTGCACCGGGCCTCTAGTCCTATATAATAAAAGGCTAATATGCAAATAGACAGAATGGCGGAAAAACCAGAATAATCGAACAACTGAACAACCAGTCACGATGAAGTGTGCTGACCACCAGGGGGCGTGCATGGAACATGCGGGGGGATGGTGCAGCATGTGATTGGGGGAGCCAGACAAAGCCCCGGTGCCGGTCACTGTCATTGGGGCAAGCCTCTGGTGGTTACTGAATATTCTTTGCTTCCAGGCCCCATGATAACGCCCAGTGCTCACACCTGCTGCTGGCACCAGCCTTGCTTGCACCCACTGCTGGCACCCAGTGCCAGTCCTGATTGCTCAACTCTGTCAGTGGGTGCAAGTGGCTGCTGCCGGCCTCTATTGCCCGGAGAGTTTCTCCATCTCCCCCTGCTCCTGAGGGGCGATTAGGGTACCTCACACCTGCTGACAGTGCCGGCCCCAATCATACCCACTGCTGTTGCTGGCCCCAATTGCTCTGGGCCAGTCAGTAGGTGTGAGCAGGGCCGGTGCCCTCAGCATGTGTGAGCGGGGCTGCGGGCAGACAGGGGACTGGGTCATGGATGGAGGCGCCGGGTGGGGGCACAGAAGATGGGCCAAGACCTTTGCCTATGCCCATTGCAGCCTAGTGGCCCACAGTTCCTTTCAAGGTGCACAAATTCGTGCACTGAGCCCCTAGTATCATATAATTAATTTAGAACAAATGAAAATTAACCCTTTGCACTGCGAACCATTCTGGACATTGGCTACCAGCTACTCAACGTTACTTTGCGGCGGAAACGTGCATTTACAGACCCTCGTATAATTTTGGAACCAAGTAACGTATTATAATGATATTGGACTTATATGAATTGGGTGACATCGAGGAATGTATATTTGCAAAAAATACAATATTTTATTGTTTATAATTTTGTACAGTATGATAAGTTTTTTAACACTCCCCAATATGCATTGCAGGCTGATTAGCGCATGTTTGACAGTAATAAGTGGTTTGACACCTGCCACCAGGTGTTTTCCTGTTAGAACACACAATGCAGTCCCGTTTTCTTTGTCCCACATCGGGAATATGTAGTTTATTGTTTAATCCGACACAAAACCCGCTGACATTTCTTGTATATATCTTAGTAATTTTACGATATTTTGATTTAATTTCTTGTGCCATTTCAAGATAAAACTTCAGGGAAACATGCATGTCTCAAAAAGTTGTGTTGAAATAACTCAATTCCCCGTAATCACTAATAAACTGCATGTCCCCTGAGAGGGGACAGCGCAGTGCAAAGGGTTAAGTGCAATCACTCATTCTCTCTTTGGACACTGTATTGGTCATGTTTTCAGCTTAAATTACTCTAAACTCAGCAGCTAAAAACAACAAATGTGTATTATCTCCCAGTTTTCCAGGGTCAGGATCCCAGGAGGGGTTGCCCTGAGTGCTTCCTGCTCAGGCGTCTCTCAAGGTTGCCGTCACTTGTCAGCCAGGGCTGCATGGTCTGAAGGCGGCTGGGCTGGAGGACCCACTGACACATGGCTCACTCCTAGGGCTGTTGGCAGAGGCCTGATTTCCTTCCTGGATGGTCCCAGGAGCCCTCAGTTCCTAGCCTGGGGACTCGGCCATAAGGCAGTGAATGACTAGAGCTTCTTGTCCCAGAGCAAGTGATGAGAGAGAGAGCAACCAGCGTGGAAGGTGAGTGAGGTGAATGTCCTAGGCTGAGAGTCACACACATTACATCAGCCTTACTCCTCAGTTAGAAGTGAGTGAGCAAGTCCAGCCCCCACCCTCAAGAGGAGGGAATTGCTCCACCTCCGGAAGGGGGAGTGTCACAGAATTCACACACATGTGAAAACCAAAGTTCACACTACATGCTCTTTCAGGATTCTGTAAGTCAGTGTTTCCTTTATCTGATTATTTTATTCAAAGCTCTAAATTTCACTTTTGGAAAGTATGATTCAAAGTTTAAGACAGAGCAAGGAGATACAACAATATTTGTAAGTTTTTCTTAGCTTTGCCTTTAGTAATAATGTTCCCTACAGTAAGTGGCAACAACATTGAGAACACATGGTAGCTAGATCACACAGTTTAAAGACTGGGCTCCATAACAATCATGCCTTTAAAATAATTCTTTGCTATTTCTCAGAATTTTCTAATTTAGTTCATTAAGAATGTAAAAATATTGGCTAAAATGTCAGTTTTCATACTCAGCATCTTCAAAAATCTGTGTGTCAGGAAACCGATTTTTAGTCAGAAAAATGTGGATCTTACACTCGGTCTACACACCCACCTTGGCGTCCTGACAGCAATTGGGTGAGACGCTGCGGGCAGAGAGGGTACAGCCCTGCTGTATCACACCCAGCTGTCCCACAGCCGTGCTGGTCTCGCTGACGAGCTGTATTACCATCCAGCTGTCTGCAGTGAATACAGTGTCCTCAGTCCACCTCACTGTGGGGACTCCTGTTGGCATTGACACTCACAGCCCTGTCCCCTAGATGTAATCTCTGTTCTGAGCCTTGTGTTTTTTACACCCTTGAGACTCCCTAAAGATTTTATAATTAATATATATATATATCTCCCACACGAATGTTTTTCAATTTTACCAGCTTTAAATTTCCTGTAAAGTGAACTTGTACTGCATGGAGTCTTCTGAGGCTCAGCATTACATAAGGGTCATCTCTCATCTGTGAGGCTGTCCTTACACTTTTAGTGATGAAGTCTTATATTTTACTAGAGGATTGATGCACGAAATTCGTGCAAGGGGTTCGGCCCCCACTGCTGCAGTGGCTGCCTCTGCCTCGGTGCTCACAGCCCAGGCTTTGTCTGGAAGGTTATCCAGAAGGACGTCTGGACTAATTAGCGTATTATGCTTTTATTATTATAGATGGTTATAGTGAAATTTTGCTATTTTCCTATTGATGAATATGTGGTCATTCCAGTTTTTGCTGCAAACATTAGTGTACATGTCTCCTGGGGCACAAAGCAAGGAATTCCCCAGAGGGGGTAGTCAGGGGTGGCAATGCTGGACCCTATGGGGCCTGTAACTTTAGCCAGACCTGATGATGCTCATGTGATTTGAAAATGCGAGTGCCAATGTAAACTTTAACCAGGAATGTGGAAGACTTTATGTTGCTGATGTAGTTGTTCTGAAAATAAACCAACCTGAGCTTAAATAGAAGCATTAAATGTGGATTGTCAGGTCCTTGGTTGCAGAATCACCTGGGCACTTTCTTTTCAGACTATTAATTACTTCTTTCTTTCCTTTTATTCCATACCTCTTGTGTTTATACTTTTAACATATACACCCAGGTAATTCTTCCTTTAGCATAATCACAGAGTATTATTTCATACTAGAGGCCTGGTGCACAAAATCGTGCACAGGAGGAAGGGGGGTGTCCCTCAGTCCGGCCTGCACCCTCTTGCAGTCCAGGACCCCTTGCTCATTCATTACTGCCCGCCTGCTCGCTCCTTACTGATTGGCTTGTTACTCCTTAGCGCTGCCACGGAGGCAGGAGAGGCTCCCACCGCCACCACTGCACTCACCAGCCATGAGCCTGGCTTATGGCTGAGCAGTACAACCAATGTAATAGTGCACTGACCACCAGGGGGCAGCTCCTGCACTGAGCGTCTGCCCCTGGTGGTCAGTGCACCTCATAGTGACTGGTCATTCTGCTGGTTGTTCCGCAGTTCGGTCAATTTGCACATTAGGGTTTTATTATATAGGATGGTTGAGACATCTGATAATACACATAAAGAAAAGAAAGAGAAAAGGGAGAATGGAGAAAAGACAGAATAAAAGAGAGAACAGGAGGAGAGGAACTGGAAATAGTGAGTGCAGGTAACATTTTCCAAGTGCAAGGAATCAACGATGCAGACTAAAAGAAACTAAAGAGAGCCTTGTGACGTATTCACTGCAGAGCAAGGCACTACCCTGAACATATGCATCTGTTACCTCAGAAAGATAATACAAAGGCCAGCACAAGGGAGCCGATGATGGTGAA